CCCTGTAATGAAGAAAGTCGCATCGCGTGTCGTATTTATAGGCCAACACCTCGCGCGACAGGTGGTGCGGTGTGTCGCACAATGGGTCGTAGCCTTGTACGATCGGTTGTAGTAGTCGTACAACGGGTCGCTAGGTCGCGCGACATATGGCGCTACAAAACGCATACATGTATGTTGTGTGACTTGGTCGCATCATTGTTCAACCGTTGCAGCTGTTGTACGACTGTTGCACCCGGAAACATGAAAATAATCGCACGATTACGTCTCACGACTGTTGTAGTATCCTGGTGCAGTGGTCGTTCACCTCACGTACGATTTTATATATTGCTTGCGACTCAAAGACAACACTTCTACAACAGGACGGAAAAAATATTTTCAAAAAAAAAAATTAACGCACGAGTGAGGCGCCAATTGTGAAAGGGGCTTAATCTATAATTTCGCGAATTTAAAAGAAAGTATTTTCTCACAATGATAATTAAGATTTTGTTAATTTGTTTCCCAAGTCAAATTTGCAAAAATGGCATGTAGCTAATTCATAGTGTTTTCATGGAAATCAAAAGGAGTGACAACCCATGCCACCCGCTTATCATGTGTTGTTTGCATAACAATATGCAATTGTTCTTGTTTCAGATGAAATGGTGTGCATGGATAGCTGTCTATTGTTCTTTTATTAGTTATGCAAATTCAAGATCTTCTGAAGATACCAAACAAATGCTCAGTAGTTTCATGTAAGTTTTTTTTTATAGAGCATTTTGTCATAAAAAAATCATGTTCTATGTTTGAGCCTACATTATAATCCATGCGTAACTTAACATTTAGCTAGCTATGATGGTACAAGACAGAGTTGTGTGCAGTATATGCTTCCTCTAACTGTATTTACTTTTTAGCCGCTTTCCTCTAACGGTTTGTTAGCTAGAGTGCAGCTTTGTTAAAGGTGATATGTAAGACATAGGGTGACATCCACCAACAAATTGAGTTAAAAGTGACTCGATTTTAGATCGATCGCTCATGTGATTGTATGTTCTTTTTATATAGTTTTCTCTGAAACCAATAGCAATGTAGAGATCGGGGAAATGTTATGATAGTCTTTGTATAGATATACTGTACAACTGTATTTGTTTGATACCTGCCCAGGGTGATCTTTTGACACATTTTCAATCCTTGTTCAGGCATAGTCTTAAAAACAAGAACTTATGTTTTAACCTTTGTCTTTGCATTTTGAACATGCCTCATCTGATCACATATTCAAGCTTTACAACTTCATTCACGTATTTTAGGCAAAATAAGCATGTCCATTTGTTTCATGATCAGATTCAAAATGACAGAATGGAGGCCATTTTAGTGCTAGAAAATTTTTGCCATTTCAGAACCGAATCTCTGTCGACCAAGATACAGTTCCAGAAATGCCTGATTTTTGATGATTTCTTAGCACAAAAATGGTCACCATTCGGCCATTTTGAATCAGATTGTTAAACCAATGTACCGTACTCGACAGCGTTAGTGCCCAGGGCCCCCGCCTCAACTCAGAAAATCAAGATTTTTTAGGGGTGGGCGCTCACCCGAGCACCCCCTCGAAAAAGAGTGCAAATGAAAAATTTGATTCATCAAGTGACAGATTACGTTTTTGAGGGAAAATCAAATTATGAAATTAGTTGAATCGTCATTGATTTTCACAATGAAGAAACAGAAATTATCACAAAAAATATGCACATTTTATTACAATACTAATTACGCACCACCAGAATATACGAGATTAAAAACATTTGACACGTGTCAAAATTGTCATACTATCTCCACTGACGAGGTGTTGGATCGTACGCAAACTCTCGATGAAAATCACTTTCCGCCATGATGCATTTGCAGATTTGACCTGCAGTAGCGTCCTTTGACCTAATGGGTCAAGTTGGTTATTAACCAATCAGAATGCTGCGTTGTACTGACGCAATTCTTCGGAAATTCCCAAAGACTTTCCGGTAACACAATGCGGAAGTGAATTGTCGATGTCAAAGTACGATCTGTTGGAATTGATTTCAGCGAATAAACGACATGGTTTTTCAAAAAACCTAATAACTAGCAATTTTCATCGGTAAACTGAATATGGCATGAAATATTTACCGCATTTTACTTGTATTAACAGGTCATTGTCGAAGCGTAGTTTACGCACAGTTACCGTGTTCTACGCAACACAACATGTTCACAGCGGTCAATATCCACGCTGTATCATATAAAAATGATTACCAAGTTTTAAATTAGAATTAGCGACCGACCGAAAAATATGAAATATCGGGTCGCTTTTTTTTTTTTTTTTTTTTAATAGGCCCAAATATTAAAAACTCACCATTTTAAGCAGTAAAAAAGTGTTTCCTCTAAAAAATAAGAATCCTGGACCATTGTTTGATCCCCAGAGTCCCGTAAGTGGCGACTTTGAACCTCGAGTTGATCTGTATTTCTCTGACATGTTTTGAATACTATGAAGTCCATATACCTAAAAAAAATCTGACCGACCTGATTTTTCAATTTTTCCACTTGAGGGCAACATAAGTTATTTTTTTGGCCCTATGAAGTATATAAATTGAACTCTAATTTATGTGTCAGAATAGATTAAAATATTCTAAAAATGACTGCTAAAATAGAATACCTATGACACATTTCTGAAAATTTTATTTGCATTAGATATGTGGACAGCAGGGTCATAGCCAGAAAATGAAAAGTGCCTGTCTAATATCTATATTGAAATGCAAGATTATAGTCTGGTAGTGCCCAATTGTAGTATCATTTATAAATTTTCAATCAAAAGATAACAGATTTGTAAAAATGTAGCCGGTCAAATCAAAATTTGAATCTGTCTAAAATGTGGAGTGCCTGTCTAAAATTACAGGTAGACAGGTGTCTTGCTAAAAGCCTGGCTAGTACTGAATTCTGCCGTAAATTCGCCCAGGACCGTTAAACGGCACTTTGTGTTTTAAAAAAACTAAAATTGGACCAATAAATCGCCCAATAAAAGGCGGTTTTTCAGCAGTTTTTTTAAGCTGTTATTTTTATCTTTTTAGATGCCTAAAAATTTCGCTGTAGTCATTGACACCTTTTCAAGGGTATTTGTGTTTATTGCGACTAGCGTGAATGAGTAAGGTTCGTTACGACAATGAGCTGTTTCCGTGTTGCGTTCAATAACATTAACATATCTAAATGAGCTACGGTAATTTGGCTCGATGGCATCATCCACCATTTTGATTGGTTAATTATTGGTTCAGACCATTTTAGAGAAAGATGGGCGGCCTATTTTTCAATCCAGCAAGAAAAAAATGTATATATTTTTAGATTAGCTTTTGCAATAGTTTCTTTCATTTTGGGTGGTCCAACTGCCGGCGTTGAAAATCGGCATACATGGATTTTTCAATGAAGATATAAGCCCCCTAAAATATTTGATGATCATTTTTTGATCGTACTACGATATTGGCAAATCTCTTCCTTGTTACGTTCAATAACATTAACATATTTAAATGAGCTACGGTAATTTGGCGCGATGGTATCATCTACCATTTTGATTGGTTAATTAGCAATTTGAACTATCAAAGAACTCTGTCCCAGGTCAAAACATGGCAGATATTCACCAGCATCTAGCATTCAATATGCGAACGGAATCATTCGCTTGAAATTGAAGTTGAAATTTATTTTCATTTCATAACAATTCAACGAATTTATTTTTTGCACGTTATTATAATCATTAGTAGGTAATAATCAACAATTGCGAAACGCAGCATGACAGGATTGCGCTACCATGATCA